ACAGTGTCTAGGGGAGATTATTCTTATAGACCCTGAGGTGGACAGCATCTAGGGGAGATTATTCTTATAGACCCTAAGGTGGACAGTGTCAAGACAACTTACCCCTCTAGATCCTGAGGTGGGCAATACCTGAGGAGTTTACTTTTTTAGATTTCCAGTTTGGAAATGTCCAGGGAAGTTTACGCTCATTGAGCCAGGGGTGGTGAGAGCTGAAAGCGTTTGTGTGCCATATTTGAACTCTAAAGGTACATTGCTTTTATACAAGCTCATAATTTCTGAAGTTGTTGTCTAGAATGCATCAGCCAGAATTATGAAAGTACATGTTACCTTAGGATTCAGATCATCTTAAAATGTAGCCTGACTATTACCCTTATATAAGCATACCCCGAGTTTGGCTGAATTAACAATTATTTTTGTTTGTTACTGTCAAGAAAGTAACGTGAAGAGAACACACAAAATGTATTCCTTAAACTTGTCCCCTTTAAATTAAAAACAGATATACATGAAACTTGATGTTTTGCATGTTGCCCACAGGCTTTATGTTTTTCTTCATTTAAAAATGCTTTCTGCAAGGAATTTGATAAAGCAGGCAATGTGAAGAAATCATCTAAAGTTTCATATTGTCTATATGGTGCTTGGAGGAGTCAACACAGAGTTTTAATGAATGGTGTTACTGGTATATTAAGCACAGGTCAGAATTCCCCATTGTCAGCAGAGAAGTACAAAGCAGTGAGGGGGATCCAGTAATACTCCTACCTAGCAAGAGGTTTTGTAATTGAAAACCCACATCTACCGGAACAGGCAATCTGCAAACTTTATATCATAACTAGAAATGTAGAAACTGCTCCATCACTTAGGAACCAAAATGAGGTCAGAAAGGTCAAGTTCAAAGGTCAAGGTTACACAAATATGTAACAGTAAATACTCTGCACCACTTCATGGGGTGATATATCAACAACATTTTTGGGTTTGCCACCAACATAAATGAGCAGCGAATTGCCATAAATTAAAGTTTACTAAAATAATCCCAAAATTGAATCTAAGCAGTCAATAACCACGGAAGATGACAAAATCTGACACAAGTAATGAGAAAGCAAGTAAGGTCTCTTTAAATTAGTATACTGAATGAAATTCAGTTGTGTTTGTCTATCATACAAAAAAATGTAATCCCTGTGTTTATGTTGATAGGACAAATAGGTGAAACGACTATACTGCTTGAATGTCCAGTACTATAGTAGACTATTGTTCTTAGTGTCAAGTGCAAACATTCCATAATTACTGTTACAAATGGTAGGCCCATGACTTTCCAAAACAAAAGTAGTATCCAATCCATGCTTCCTGGATATTCAGGATTCTAACAATGGTTGGGGTTAAGCATCATAATTGAAGGGAGAGTACCCAAACAATACACATGGAAGTATAGCCACTTTTCCCAGCCTATATACCATGCCAATGGAGATTTGACGAGCAAAGGACAGCAGGTCCGTGGGACCAAGGAGATCTACATCCCTGTTGACATAGGCATGCTGTGTGTGGTCCCGCTGTAAACAAATTACCACAATCATAATTGAATCACCAATATCTCTGCACAACAAAAGGTTCATCTATGTTAAAGTATTACACAATGTCCAATGTTTCTTCTGAATAAAAGTTTCCCCAGTGATCAGGTTTCCGTATATTCTCCAATTTTCTTATCAGATTCAAAGTAAATGTTTGCTAGGTGGAATAGAGATTAATATGAAAGATGGAGGGACAGATAACAAGCATGGAAGCTGCTGCATGTTTTAATGCAAATACATAAAGAATTTAGATAATACAAGCCAACAGTTCTTTATAAAGAAAATCAATTTGAGGATATAGGTACATACACTTTCCATACAGCCTAAGCATGCAGGGGTTATCTCCCTTAACTTAACATTCTCAATTTATTCACATAAAATATGAACTTGGGGATAATTACAAGTGTAAAATCTTCTTTTTTTTACATTAAATTCAGTTTTTGAGTTAATTTAAGCATAAGGAACTGTTTCTGATTCAGATGGGTAGTAACAATCTGGTATTTTTCAGGGTTGGCTGGATTGTTCTACACTGTTTCAGACTTGGGTGAAATACATCAGTTTGTTTCAGGGAAGGGTAATTGTCCATTTCAGAGTCCTTATAATCTTGTTACAGGCCTGTGATGATGAGTAGGGGTATATCAGACTTACTTCCCTTATGGAACTCCTGATAGCCTTGAGATAGGACTGAAGATCGCCATTGGCCATATGTTCCACCACGACACACACAGGATCACAAAGTGTGCAGCATCCCAGCATGCTCACCACATTGGTGTGATAGCCAATCTTCTTCATCAGAGCTATCTCACGCAAAAATTCACTCCTGTGGTGGCTGTCGTCATCATCTGTAAGGTCGGTAATGTCACTCATATAAAAATGATATCAGATTCATATTAAAAAATATTTTTACCTGTAGGTTCAGGTAGATGGTATAAAATGGTGCAGAAGCGATGGTTCTTTCTGTTTAAACAAGGTGTGATCAGTTTTGCCACTAAGATGTCTCCCATTGCTCAGTCAATTACATGTTTACATAGAA